TTAGAATTACCGTATTTTTCGGACCATAAGACGCACCTGACCTTAAGACGCACCTAGTTTTTAAAGGAGGAAAACAGGGGGGAAAATATTCTGAACCTTAGGTCCATAAGACGCACTCACTTTTCCTCCCACTTTTTTTGGAAGAAAAAGTGAGTCTTATGGTCCAAAAAATACGGTACTTTTCAAGCAAAGAAAAAGAAGTCCGAAAGGTCTTCTATCTAAAATATATAAATTATTGTATTTACAAAAGAACTCCATTTTATCAGGTAAAAAGCATGGATAGCAGATTGTGATGGTAGAATCACTAAGGATGATTTTGAAAAAGCCTGGAAGGCCCCAAGTTTTAACTCCAAGATTTCAACAATCTATTTTAATCCATTTAAGATTTTACATAGAAGCTATTTAACTCTGATGAAAATAGCTAAGTTTTCAAAAATCCAAGTAAAAAAAATGTTGGTAAGGATGTGGTTCAGTGGGAAATTTCATGCATTGCTTTTGGCTGTGTCCCTCTATTCAAACGTTTTGGAATAAAGTATTATTTTGGAATAAAGTATTATTTCAAACTGAGATAACAGTTGGTCCATAGATCCCCAAAAATCTAAAAAATATTATTTTAGAAATAGGCTTAACAGAACAAGTAGATAAAATCAAGCTGGTTACAATAACAACTCCATTGGCAATTGCTAGGTTAGAGATTGCTAAGCAATGGAAACAGAAGAAAGGGCCTCCAATACGAAATTGGTATGACTCTATTTGGAATCACTTTATGCTGGGTAAAATAAATTATTCTACAGGTATTCAAAATTTTGAAGTTTATTGTAAAAATTCTCAAGCCATTTGCTCTCCTATTCTATTATTTTTGCAAGATAAGGAAATTGTCTCCTATAATATATATTATAAGGAATTTCTGATCTCCTATTGTATGTATATACATATAAAGGCTTGACAAATGTATAAGGAATTTTTAGACCTAAGGAATTTTGTAGTATAGTATAATTTGGATTTTTCTCTGGGTGTACTACATGAATATGGATAGAAGATATAGTGTGTATTTATAATGTTCTTTGGTTTAGTTTGGTAGGGTATTGTTCTATGCCATGGGTATGGTGAATTTTTCAATTAATTTTTTTTTAAAAAGAAAAAAAGGCTGCAAAAAACAGCAGTGATTGACAGAAGGGTTTAAAGTACATGGCAGTTTGGTGTAGTGGTTAAGTGCGCGGACTCTAATCTGGGAGAACCGGGTTTGATTCCCCACTCCTCCACTTGCACCTGGCTGGATGACCTTGGGCAAGCCATAACTCTGGCACAGCTGTTCTTGAAAAAGAGCAGTTTCTGGAAAGAGCTCTCTCAGCCCCACCTACCTCACAGGGTGTCTGTTGTGGGGAGGGGAAGGGAAAGGAGTTTGTAAGCCTCTCTGACACTCTCCTTTGGGTAGTGAAGGGCGGGGTATAAATCCAATCTCCTCCTCCTCCTCCTCTTTGCACTGAAGGGACTTCTTTTGACTGGGTATCTGGTTCCCTACTGCTCTGTGGTACAGAGCAGTTCAGGTTCAGAGCCTGGGGTTGTCCCTAGATCGTTCTGTTTTTAGGACTGCAAATTGCATTTTTTACTGGGTACCTCTTATCAGCTTGTGGCAAATGTGTCAAAGAAATGGGCTCTGTCATGCACACCTTGGTAACTTTGAGGTTAGACAATTGAAACGCACTTTGTGCCCAGAACTTTTAGAAACTGCCTCCTGTATTTTGACAGGCTTGAGCAGAAGGGAACGCATAGCACCTGTGCTCTAACACTTCACTGGTTCCCAGTTTGTTTCTTCTCACAAATCAAGATGCTTCATCCTTAAAGCCTTACATGATCTGGCATCTGAGAATCTGAAAGAATATTCACATATAGATTTTTATGCCTTTAATATTTGCCCTTAATGCTATTCTGAGGAATACCATCATAGGCCTTTTCTATGGTTGCCCCAACACTGCAGAATAGGAGGCTCATATATATCACCTGACTTGCCCTCTGTAGCATAACGGAAGACTTTTCTTCTACTGTGGTTTTATTAATTAATTCATTAATTTATTTATAAGTTCAATTTATACCTCGCCCTCCCCGCTACGCGAGCTCAGGGCAGCTTACAAAGAGGCACAAGCCAGTATAAAACATATTTAAAACCATTTAAAACCACTACAGTACAGTAACATTAATATTAACAGAAGTGCTCTAGATGTTCTACCATGATATTCCACAGATGGCATATTACAACTACTCTATTACACTGCTCTACCTACTCAGCGTCATCTGTTCCGGGAAACGCTGATGTTCCTTCTTCCAGGGCCGGGTTATGATGGAACAGTAGTGATGGTAGTGGCGGCTCCTACTCATACGCCTGGCGGAAGAGCTCTGTCTTACAGGCCCTGCGGAACTGTGCAAGGTCCCGCAGGGCCCAGATCTCCTCTGGGAGCTCGTTCCACCAGGTAGGAGCCGCCAGCGAGAAAGCCCTGGCCCTGATAGCGGCCAGCCTGGCCTCTTTGGGACCTGGCATTGCCAGGAGGTGTTGCGACCCAGACCGTAGTGCTCACGGGGGAACATATGAGGAAAGGTGGTCCCTTAGGTAAGTCACTGTTTTTATTGAATAGCTTAAACTGCATTTGATGAGTTTCTATATATGAAATGTTTAGTTGGAATTTGCTATGCTGTATATTGACTATTTGCAATAAAACTCTAGGACCTCTGAACTGTAGACTGTCCTAATAAAATTCATTTGAGGAATTGTACAGGAGTAAATGTTATATGATTATGGTTATTTTGGATAGTGGTAGAAAAAAAATAAAGTGTAGTATTATAAGAAGGCCACTCACTCCTTGCCATCTTTGGTATCAAGTGCTGCGCAAGAGGAGGAGGAGGAGGAGATTGGATTTATACCCCGCCCTTCACTACCCAAGGGAGTCTCAGAGCAGTTTACAAACTCCTTTCCCTTCCCCTCCCCACAACAGACACCCTGAGGTAGGTGAGCTGAGAGAGCTCTGACAGAAACTGCTCTTTTTCAAGAACAGCTCTTATCAGAGCTACGGCTTGCCCAAGGTCATCCAGCCAGGTGCAAGTGGAGGAGTGGGGAATCAAACCCGGTTTTCCCAGATTAGCGTCCGCACACTTAACCACTACACCAAACTGGCTCTCCTACACCAAACTGGCTCACCAAACTGGAGCAGACAGACAGTAATCCATTTCAAAGAGTTTAGGCATTCAAGAAGTAGATTAATTAAATAATCTATTTATTTTATATAAATAAGTTTTGGAGCATTTAAAATGTTTATTTATTGGAAGAGACTTTGCTTGAAATGGTTAGGCTAACAACTATTGTTTGATACTGCATTGCAGTTTTTTTCAGCTTCTTTCCCTAACACTCAGCATTTTGTATAACCTACTTAATTGCTAGATTAAACAGGAAACAGAATCTTTTGCTGTATCACTTGCCACCTTCAGTCTGTTTAATTCCTTGCTGGTAGAGTGAGGACATGAATGGGAAGTGCTGAGATTAGACTCTGAAATTATGCATGTTAGCTTTCTCCTTGAGTCCAGTGGCACCTTTAAGGCCAACAAGGTTTTATTCAAGATATAAACTTTCATGCGCATATCTTCAGATATGATGAAATGGAACTTGCCAGTCCATACATCTAGGTAGAGGGCAAGCAGTAAATTAGCATACAGCACAATGAAGATGTTATACAGATTCAACAACCAAACAGGAATAACAAGCTTAGTTTATATGGTTACCACTTGTTTGGGTTTAATTCTGAGGGAAAACATAGGAAGGAAATATGTCAAAATTGGAGATTGATGGGCAGGCAGACGTATCCTTAATTGTGGAATGCCAAGAGTAATTAGCTGAGACCCTGCCATTACGTATGGCCCTTCTGGGGGATTGGTGAGAAAGGGATGTGGTGTGTGTGGGGGGTGTTAAGGCCCACAATAGCCTGCTGTAGGACAGTGAGCCGTCCCCCTGACACACTGGTGTTTCAACTCAGGGAGAATGATTTAGCTGAGCAAACGGGTGTGTTCCTTCTGCACCAGGCATTAGCCAAATTGGCATTTTTGAGGGGAGACTTAGCCAACACGTTTGTCTTTTGGCCAGACTGGTTGGAGCAACGTTCATGGCAGGGAGCCGCTCACCCCGGGAAGGTGGATGTTGCAAGGTGAAAGGTGTCTGGCAGACTGGGCAGGGCTGTGGAGGCCATGGGAGGCATGTGGATATGTCATCCAGATATTGCTCAGAGGTTAGAACCTCTGTTCCAACCTTATGGGGTGCATCTGACTTCATAGGCCATGGACATTTGGCTGCATGGAGTGCAACATTCCCTGCTATCTTGGCTACAGCTGTAGGAACGTTGGCGGGAACTGGGCGGGGGGCCCACCTGGCTCTTGTGGCAGTAACAGCATGGGGCCAGATCCATTTATGGAAGTTGGCCTGCGTGCCACTTCCTGGATATGGGGACCACCTTAAGGGGTCTTGGCATGAGGGCTATTAGGAGCAAGCCTGCTCAAGGACTACCAGCGCTTGCCCTCACGACCAGATGGCAGGGGAGAACATGTGATCTCCAGCAACCTGCCATTCCGCAATCTTCACCCAGGCCTGCTGGCTGGGTGATGGGGTACATTGGCTGGCGTGGAGCCAGCTGATGCGCTGGATTCGTTGGACCCATGCTGTGTCTATGCTTCTTACAGCTGTAATCAATAAAGTTGTGGCCAATTTAATCCACATATTTTCCAAATCTGTTGTGAGTATGGTTACTTCATAATGGGTCAGAGGTATCTGGCAGAACCTCTCCATCCCACATAAGAGCTGGAACTGCAAAAAGAAAGTGGAGTTCTGTCAAGAAGCACATGCCTGTAAGGGAGAGTGCGCAACCAATTGAGGAGGAAGCGTTCACTCTTTTTCTAGCTTAGCTTCACAAGGGAGACTTGCTATACTTTGATGGCTATTCTTGACCATTCCTCTTTTCTTACAGGTGACTGGTATGAACAGCTTTATCCACTCACAGTTACACTGAAAGACTGCATTGGAGAGGTGGTGACTAGGGCAAGGCAATCAATGTCTTTTGTTCTGCTTCAAGAACTTGCATGTAGTTTGCCACAATGTTTAATGCTGACACTAAGAAGAGATATTGTCTTCAGTCAAGCAGTAGGTGCTTCTTCCATTTTATAAACTTCTTTTTGTTTTCCTTTATTTCCTTTTTTTTGTTTTGTTTTGTGAACAGAGCAGTCAGCTTAAGCCATGCTAGGGTTCACCAAGCCACTATTTTAAACAATCACTTTCCCATAGCTATTGAATGGTACTCTGCCAATCCAGACAGTAAGAAAGGAAATGATTCCCTTCTCTCTCCACAGTTACAGCCTCAGAGCTGCAGTTGTCACTATCCCTGGCTTGCTTGATGTGAGGCAACAGAAGACAGGTCCCTTAATTTCCACTAAGAGCGGACTATGTTTGGAGAGTGTTTGCCAAACTTCCGCACCGAGCAGCACATTTACTTCTTTTTTTCCAGCACCTCAGAGGCCCTTCAGAAGTTACTGAAAAAACAGTTTATGGTCTTCCAAACACAGGGATTTGTAAAGTAGTTCACAGCTCTTGTCTTCTGCCGGTGCTTCTGGAGTCACATATGAGATCTTCTCAAGAGCCTCTGGCCACCTGCAGAATCCATCACAACTGGATTTCCAGAGTTTCTTTTTAGCCATTTGTTCTGGTCATGAGAGTAGTCTTCAATGGAAACAAAGGAAACTGTTGTACATTCATAATGCAAAACGTGGGTGGGAGGGATTTCCCAGGAGGGGTGTCCCAGCAGTGCTAGAAAGTGTCTTAAGCACAAAATATTCTTATGTACTCCCCAGTTTGGTGTAGTGGTTAAGTGTGCGGACTCTAATCTGGGAGAACCGGGTTTGATTCCCCACTCCTCCACTTGCACCTGCTGATGTGACCTTGGGTCAGTCACAAGCTCTGGCACAGCTGTCCTTGAAAAAGGGCAGTTTGTGTCAGAGTTCTCTCAGCCCCACCCACCTCACAGGGTGTCTGTTGTGGGGAGGGGAAGGGGAAGGAGTTTGTAAGCCGCTCTGAGACTCCAAGTGAAGGGCGGGGTATAAATCCAATCTCTTCTCTTCTTCTTCTTCTTCTTCCCCTTAATAACCAAGTAGTCAAATTACACAAAGAAATAAATAAGAAAATGTGCTGCTTGTGGAAATATAAACCCAGTCTTAGGACATCTGCACCCATAGACCTATCCTTCCTCTTCTAGTTCTTTTCTTAGGAGAAAGAGAACAACAATAACAAAAAAAAAAGCTCAACACAGGAGTTCTAATATTAGCAAAGCTGGAGATTAATTTTGAAAGGACAGCAGGTACAGTGCAATAGTAGGTAAATTGTGTGGTATTATCTCATGGCCGGAGAACCTGGCATCGTTCCTTTTAGAATAATGGTCCATGTCTCAGAGGGAGGCTTTTAATGACCCGAATATTCACTCTCCCTGTTGTGCATCTTTCTTTTTTGACAGATAAATTCATACTGAAAGGTTTATGGGAGGAATAGGCAACACAGAAGAGCCAGTAGTTCAGATTTGAGTCCTTCAGATCTCTGAAACAGCTGCCATCTGGTCTTGCTGGTTTATTATTGTTTGAAACATACCCTCCACCTAAAAACTCTCAAAGCATTTTAATTTGTGGGTTTTCTTCTGCAATATCCCTTGGGAAATTTTTTTAAACCACCGCAATCCATTTAATTTTTCAGTAAAAAAAACCTATAATCCAGAAGGCATTTTCTAAGGAATAAGCCATAATGGAAATTGTACTACTGTTTTTAAAAAGGAATACATGTTCAGAGAAGACGTAACATGCTTGTGCAGCCCCTGAGTTAAATAGTGCTGTTGTTAAAATCCAGCATTGTACCCTTAATAAATAGCCTCTCTGTCCATCATGATATTATCCCTGGTATTGAAATCCATTGAGTACAAACTCAGTACAACAAACCCAAATGCTGAGGTATTGTTCATTTTAATAACGTAGGATCCAACCCCTTTTGAACAAGACCAAGGTTTTTGTTGTTATTAAATTCTTAGTGTTAAAAAGGGTAACTGATCTGTTAATTTATTTCTAATGTAACTAATGTTACCTGTTTGTACATTTTCATCATCATTTAGCTTGCTGGACTGGTATGTGGATTTATAATCAAATTGCACTCCAGTTTACACGATCAAGGCTTCCTCCAGCAGCTTCATACAGTAGGGTTAATAGTTCAATATGAAGGACTTCTCAGTACATACAGTAAGTATAGCATTTTAATTGCTGAGTTCAACCTTATAAAAACCTTTGAAGGTGGTCATCTAGCAGGCTCTGTATTTCTACTTCTGCAGGTATCTTTATGAAGTAGTTATGAAAGCTTTGATCAGGAACAGTGTACCATTTCTATTTTTTTACTATGTGTTAAACATTTTAATAGCACTTTGGGGTTGCATTCCTAAACATACTTATTTGGAAATGAAAAATCTGTCTGAACTTATGGCTCAATAAACACATTTAGTGCTATTCAGCAGGCCTATGGAGGATGATGTGGTTTGTTGTTTTTGACTTGCTTGTATTATCATTTTATTGGTTATGTATCGCTACAGTTTTAATATGTTTTAATTAGTATCAACTAATATTTTATAGCTACTTTAATGGTTTTGGTTGTTCGCAAGCTACCCAGTGAAAGGATATAAATTTTGTAAACATGCAAAGTGCTTTACAACTTCTACGTAGCTTGCCTTCACAAGTAGCTCTGAGGGTTCCAAAACTTCCAGTCTTAAGTTGGAGCTAAGGCTGTGTAACAATAAGAGCAAATTCTCACTTGACTCAGTGGGCATGTTTGTATGTGTACCAGTATTTCCTAAAGGGTCCAAAGCACTGTGTCTGGGCTTAATCTGGTCTACTGTATTACAGGTGACCATAAATTTCTCCCCACCCATCCACCCATTGTGAATTAGAAAAATACAGGTTGGTTTTTACTTGATACATAAACTATATGCCATTTCTGGGGAAAAAAATCTTTAATTGACTGAAAATATTTTATTTTAAAAAATTAACAACTGCCTCTCCAAAAAAATAACATGTGTCAGGTGGCTCATATTATCAATATCCAAAGCTAAAAACAGAATAAAAAATGAAAGCCGCGTCATACACAATTAGAAGCAGGTGGAATGGGAAAAAATCAGCAGGTAAAAGATGAGGACACAGTATTTTTGAAAGCATGTGCTGAACAAAAGTGGGTAAGCAGAAAAGCTTTCCACTCTTGCCTAAAGCTTAACAAGCCACCTACCAGGTGTACTGCTGAGGAGTAGGCATTCCACAGTCAAACTAAAGAAGCCTTTTCTCTGATTCCCACCCACCTGATCTCAGAAGGGGGGGGGGAATAAAACAGAGACTAGTTTGGGGCAGGTTGAAATGGGAATAGCAGTCCCTCAGGCATGCTGATCCCTGAAAGTTTAGGGCTGTGGAACGTAAGAAGCAGCACTATAGTATTGTGCCTAGCAACCAACTGCAAACATGTGATGGTATTTTAGAACTGGAAGGATGTGTTTTCCATAACCACTGTGAATTAACACAACTGGAAGAAGTCTTTACCCAACCAGGTATTGGTGATGGCATCAGGTCCAGGATAACTAATGTTGCAATACAAACTGACCTGCCATCAGTCCTGAATCTTTAGGTATTTAATCACCTGTAACAGCCATAATTTTAGATCCAATGGTGTACTGGCTAAATTAACATAGTATTGTTGGTTGAGGGACGAACTGGAACAGGGGGAGAGTTCTGTTTCTCTGATACATGCCTCCTTCTCATGGCCCATCCGTCTCCATCCCATGCCCAGTACAGACAAATAAGGAGCCTTTTTCTTCTGTTACTTGAAGTCCCAGCATGTTATAAAACACACACACACACACAAAATGCTCCCTCTAAGCTGTGGAGTCTTGTGAGCAAAACTCCTACTTTGTGAGCGACTGTCATTAAAGTTGTGAGCGAGTGATTTGGCTACCGCATAAATTAGTTTGCTTTGGAGCCATCCTTCCTGAGCAAAGGCAAAAACGTCTGAGCCAGAGGCTAAAACACTGTGAGCTAGCTCGCACTAACTCAGCTTAGAGGGAACCCTGTACACAATGATCACCCACCTCCAGTCTTATTTCTCTGTTTGCTCCTATGTAGGCAGTGGCGTACCTAGCCTAATTTTTTTTAACAACCCCCCCTCTATTTTTTTGCCATCAAGTCACAGCTGACCTATGGTGACCCCACAGAGTTTTCAAGGCAAGAGACCTTTGGAGGTGGTTTGCCATGTCCTGCCTCCATGTCGGTCCTGCTGAACTTCTGAGATCTGACGGGATCAGGCTAGGCTGGTGCTATGCAGGTCAGGGCCCCTCCTCTATATGACAAAATTATTCTCTTTAATAATAATAAAATAAAATAAATAATAATAGTAATGGCCATAAAATAGATTCGGGTGGGTAGCCGTGTTGGTCTGAAGCAGCAGAACAAAGTTTGGTCTTAAAGGTGCCTCTGGACCCAGACTTGTATTCTATGGCCAGAAAAGAAACGCAGACAATGAAAAATTTCTTGTATTTAACTTTGTATATATAATCATACGAGTACAAAAAAATAATAATCAAATTCTAACACAGTATTCCATCATGAGAGCCAGCGTGGTGTAGAGCTTAAAGTGTTGGACTAGGATCTCGGAAATCCAGGTTCAAATCCCCACTCGTGCCATGACAGTTTGCTGGGTGACCTTCGGCCAGTCACATTACACTTGTCCTAGCCCTGGCCTGGATAACCCCAGGACAGTCAATCTCATCAGATCTCAGAAGCTAAGTAGGGCTGAGTGGAGGCAGGCAATGGCAAACCACCTCCAAGGGTCTCTTGCCTTGAAAAATCTACAGAGTCGCCATAAGTCAGCTGTGACCTGACAGCAAAAAAAAAAAAATCCATCAAGTTCTGAGCAGGCACTTGTGGGGGCTTCTGTTCTCCATTTTGAAGCCCAAGAGCTGACCATTCAAAAAATCTACAAGGCATTTTTGAGAGCTAGGAGTCTGCCTTTGTACTAACTTTTACTACCAGCCGAAGCATCACAAACAGTGTTCCCTCTAAGCTGAGTTAGTGTGAGCTAGCTCACAGGTTTTTAGCCTCCGGCTCACACATTTTTGCCTTAACTCAGGGAGGAGGGCTCCAGAGCAGACTTCTTGATGCAGTCACCAAATCGCCCGCTCACAACTTTCATGCCAGTAGCTCACAAAGTAGAATTTTTGCTCACAAGACTCCACAGCTTAGAGGGAACATTGATCACAAAATACTGAACATAAGAATGTAAGAAGAGCCCTGATGGATCAGACCAATGGTCCATCTAGTCTAGCATCCTGTCTCACACAATGGCCAAAAAGTTCCTCTAGACTGCCAACAACAGGGCATAGAAGCTGAGCCCTTCCCCTGATGTTGCCTCGTGCCTCTGAATGTGGAGGTTCCCCTCAGTCACCATGGCTAGTAGCCATTGGCAGACTTATCCTTATTCAATCCCCTTTTAAAGCCTTTTATTCCTGTGGCTATCATCCTCTGGCAGCAAATTCCACATTTTAATCACTCTCTGTATAAAGTAGTATTTCCTTTTGTCTGTCCTGAACCTACTGCCCATCAGTTTCATTGGATGCCCTCAAGTTCTAGTATTTTGGGAGAGGGAGAAAAAATTCTCTTTGTCAACTCTCTCCATCCCATACATAATTTTATAAATCTCTATCATCACAAGATTCACCAGACTAGATGTAAAAAACACAGTACCACAAAGAAGATGCCCTCGTTCTTTATTGTTTCCAAAAGACTAAAGTCAAACCAGAGAATCTCTGCAGTAGAAACTGAGGGGGGGGGGGTTTTTTGCACACAGCAGAACCAGTGCAATGTACAGAACACCCAGCATAATATTAACAAAGGTTTGCCACTTTACTACTCTTAAATACAGGATAGAGATGAGAAGGTCTTGAGACCAAGAAGTGAAAATAAGGGGGGTGAGGGGAGAAAAATTAGGTGAAGAGAGACAGAAATGAATGAGAAACGTGTGGAAAAGAGGGAGAGAAATTAAGAGAGGGAAAGGTTGTTTTATTTTGCTGCAACACCCTAATAACTGCTTTGCAAGATCTGGCTTCCCAGCACCCCTAGTGGCTGTAGCCAGAACTGCACTTTAAAAATAAAAGGGAAGACCTTCAGCTGGAGGCAGCAGGACGACGCTGGCTTTGAGGGGCCCCTTCAAAGGCCTTCTTTAAACTGCGCCCAGGGTGGACTGCCCCCCTCCCCCTTCGTATGCCACTGTATGTAGGCCCTCTCATCACTGGGATATATTGTCTTGGCCTCCCCTGCTCCCCTCCAGTTCCTTAGCCTGAGCCACTCTGTTCTGTACAACAATGACAAACAAACTAATAGCAAATAAAAATCAGGACATTAATCTCCTGCTCCTCAAAGTGGTAACTGCAAGGGAGGAAACCCTTAGGTTGCCCATTTGGAGGTAACTTGCTAAGAACATCTGTCAAAAAATATCCCCTACCTTGAAAATATATGCTCTTCATCTGTGTTTCTCAAACTTTAGCAAACCTTCTTGATTTAATTTTTCTCATGGGCTTCCAGCCCCTGCCTACTGCTTGCGCCACATGGCAAACGGCCCCCTTTCAAAGTACACACCCTCCCTCCCAGTTTCAGCAAGGAAGCACATCAATAGCCTCACCCAGTCCCACTGCCAGTGGAGCTGCTGCTGCTGCTGCTATCAAAGTGAAGGTAGTTCCTAAAGTAATTGCTTCTCCAAAATTGCCTGGTCTAGAGCGGCCAGTGCCCATCTTTGGTAATCTTCTGGCTGTAAGGTTGCTAGCTTTGGCTTTCGAAATACCTGGAGATTTTGGGGGTGGATCCTGGAGAGAGCAGTGTTTAGGGAGAAGAGGGACCTCAGCAGACTATAATGCCATAGAGTCCACCATTCAAAGCAGCCATTTTCTGCAGGGGAACTGATCTTCGTTGTCTGGTGATCAATTGTAATAGTGGGAGATCTCCAGGTGCCACCTGGAGGTTGGCAAGCCTATCTAGCAGCTACTGAATATGTAAGCTGTTATGTAATATGCTGTGCAATTCTATACAGAGTTACTCCAGTCTGAGCCCTGACATCAATGAACTTAGCCTGGAGTGATTTTGCATAAGATTGCACTGTTAATCTGGTCTGTATTTGATGTGCAACAGTGATTCAGTTTTGCATTATATGACTTAAAGAGATCAGAAAACATTATACATAATTTAACCAAATGCAGATGATAATATGAATGCAATTTCTAACAATGACTTAGTGCTACATTGCAAAAACTGTGTATCTGCTGTAGTGGGTAACATTATAATGTCCACATGAGGATATGAGAAATCGTCACAGAAATAAAATATCAGGTTTTTGCATATCACTAACCAAACTTTCAAGAACTGTATGGGATGTGCTTATGAAACCACATGTTAAACAGCGATATAGCTGCTTGACAACAAATTTGAGAAATCTTGACTTACGTTGTTACTTTTCAAAAAACCCAAAGAGTGATTACTCAGTTGTATTTTACGTTTCTCAGTGCATTTTCTAATCTACTTTTCTATCTATGCAGGTGAGGAAATTGGGATGCTAGAAGACATGGCTGTGGGAATATCAGATTTACAAAAAGTCATCTTTAAAATAACTGAAGCCAAATCAAATGACCTTTTGCCTGTTGTAACTGGAAGGCGGTAAGATTTTTTCTTTCCTAAAACGAGAGCATAATGTTATTTTGTGCCAGAACAAACCACAGAAGCTCAAATTGTTTTTCTGCTGTTATTTTCACTTGTGTAACTGTGATTTGTATGGCATAGACAGAAAGGCGAATGACAGTGCAATCCTAAACAGAGTTACACCCAAGTCCACAAAAGTAAATTGCCTCAGAAGGATGTAAGTCAATTGCCTCAGAAGGATGTAACTCTGCTTAGGAATGTAGTATAAATGCCATGAGGGTCTTGTAAACATAATAGTCTTTTGGAACACACTAATTGTTAGATCGCGCTAACAAAGGACTCGTAGAGTGATTCAGCAAGTGATTCAGCTTTATTGGAAGTAACGAACAAGCACTAAACTCAGTAAGAAACCAGAACAGAAAACAGTGGGAGCTTATGCTCCTTTTAAACATAACCGGGCTAATGTAGCCACGCCTATTTACAATTAACAACCAATGAGATTGCTTAGTTAAGGACCAATGGGAGTCTTTCCCTCCTAGGGAATGGTATCGTTCTGATTGGTCGCTGTTACGAAGCGACCAATAGGAAGTTCGCTCAGAGGAGCCCTGGTCTGGCTCGAAGCTTAACATAGGAGTCCTATGAGGTGATTCATGTAATCGTTTCAATACATTACAATTCCTCCCCCCTAAGTTAAGTCATCATCCATTTGTTTTATTATTTACATACATTCAAGTCATGCTGTTGTACATCAACTGTTCCAAAATACTTTATTACAATCGTAGTCTTTTAGATAAGTCGGCATCTGCCGCGTACGCTGAGACCTGCGAAGCGGTGCAGGCTCTATGGGCACACAAGGTTGTGAGTCACTGTGGGGTTCACTACAGCCTGGTTCAGGCACAAACTCTACTGGGGTTTCAGCCCCGCACACAGGGGTCTGCCCTGACTCGGGGACAGTACCGGGCCCTTCGGTACTCACCGCCTGCTCTGGGGGTCTCCACTCAACATTGGGGAATTCAGCCGTCGGAGAGTCAGCGCTGTCCTTAGCCCAACGTCTCCTTAGCTGATCTATGTGGCGCCGCCATACTCGACCGTCAGCCAACTGTACCACATACATGCGAGTACCCACAGAGTCGGATATTACCCCAGGAAGCCATAAGTGACCATTAGCATAATTCCGTGCAAGAACCTTGTCCCCTTTTTCAAACATTCGTACCTTCGGTTGTGAGTCGGTACGCTCGGAATGATCGTCAGTGAGATCCGGATGCAACCTGTTTAACCGAGTTGTGAGCCTCCGCCCCATTAGCACTGGCTCCAGTCCCCTTCGTCCATTTTACCCAGGGCCTCTTTGGCCGTCCTGACCATCCGTTCGGCTTGGCCATTAGATGCCGGATGGAAAGGGGCCGAAGTCATTTGGCGTATGCCATTACTCGTGAGGAAGAGCCTAAATTCCTCAGACACAAATTGAGGCCCGTTGTCACTGACGATGACGTCAGGCAACCCGTGGGTGGCAAAAAGTCGGCGGAGCGCATGGATCACAGCAAGTGATGTGGTCGATTTCATATGCACGACCTCCAGCCATTTGGACATAGCGTCCACCACAATTAGGAACATTTGCCCTTGGAGAGGGCCAGCAAAATCTATATGCAATCTGGCCCAGGGTTTACCAGATGACTCCCAGCCTTGGGGTGTAGCTTGTGGGGGATCGGGTCTGACTTGCTGGCATTTGGGACACCCTCGTACCCATTCTTCGATCTCTTTGTCCAGCCCCGGCCACCAGACATACCCTCTGGCCAACGCTTTGGTGTGTACCATACCGGGGTGACCCTCGTGCAGCGACTCTAACACTCTCGTCCTGAGTTTGTCAGGAACCACCACCCTGTTCCCCCATAATACACAGCCCTTAGAAATGGATAGTTCATTTTGACGGCTTTTGTAAGGGCCGAACTCCGGTTCAACGCTTCCAACCGGCCACCCCCTCCAAACCCAGTTTAATACTCGGGACAGCACGCTATCCTTGGCCGTGTGTGCTGCAATGTCCCTGGATGATACCGGGGGTCGAGGAAGCTCCTCAATTGCCAAGACCTCACAGGCGGGGGCAGGGTCTGCGCCAATGTCCGGCACCGGGCACCGGCTGAGGGCATCCGCATGCCCAATCGCTTTCCCAGGCCGGTGCTCTAAGTCAAAATCATAAGCCTGCAAAAATATCGCCCATCTAAGCATGCGTGGGGACATGATGTTTGGCAATTGCTTATCGGGCGCAAAAATCCCCAGTAGCGGCTTGTGGTCAGTGACCAGCAAAAATCGTCTGCCAAAAATAAAATCATGGAACTTTTTGACAGCCGCTACCAACGCCAGACCCTCCTTGTCTATCTGGGCATAGTTCCGCTCTGCCGCAGATAGTGATCTAGAATAAAAAGCGATAGGCGCTTCGCTCCCATCAGGCATCAGATGGCTTAAAACTGCGCCTACTCCAAAAGGTGAAGCGTCAGCAGCTAACACCAGGAGCTTGTGTTCATCATAATGCGTGAGTACGGCATTAGATGTCAGCAGCTCCTTGACTCCCACAAAAGCCTTTTCCTCGGCCTGCCCCCACTTCCATTTTGCCTCCTTGTGCAAAAGCGCGTGCAAAGGGGCCGCCACTGATGCCTTATGCGGTAAAAACGCATGATAAAAATTCAGGAGTCCTAAAAAGGATTGGAGCTCCTTCTTACTCACCGGCCTGGGGGCGTTTTGGATTGCAGATACCTTCTCATCCGTGGGGTGGACTCCCTCTGCGTCAATGCGAAACCCCAGGAAGTCCACACTTTCCACCCCGAGCGTGCATTTTGAGCGCTTAACTCTGAGACCGGCATTTTGAAAACGCCTGAGGACCTCTTTAACCCGGTCCAGTAGTTCCTGTTCAGACCCGCCCGCAATCAGCACGTCGTCAAAATAGGGCACTGTGCCAGGTACCCCCCTTAGTAGACGTTCCATGAGGCCCTGAAAAATCCCAGGTGCTACGTTGACCCCGAATTGCAGCCTGTTCACTTTAAAAGCCCCTTGGTGGGTTACAATTGTTTGGGCCTCGGCAGCCTCCGGGGTGACAGGCAACTGCTGGTATGCCTGGGCCAGGTCAAATTTGGCGAAAATCTTGCCACCCCCCAGGGAAGCCAAAATGTGGCTTATTACCGGGACCGGGTACGAATGTTGCTGCAGCGCCTTGTTAATCGTACATTTGTAATCGGCGCATAGTCGTATGGACCCATCTGATTTGACAGGGGTTACGATCGGGGTCTCCCATTTGCTGTATGGTACTGGCTCTAAAACCCCTTGCTCAACTAGTTTGTCAATCTCTTTTTCCACCTTATGTTTGAGAGACACAGGTACTTTCCGATACTTCAACCTAATAGGTTTGACTGACGGATCTAAGTCAAACGCAACCGGGGGGCCCTTGTACCTCCCCAACCCTTCGGCAAATACATCAGGGAACAGGTCGTACAGCATGCCCCATTTATTTTCAGACATCCTGTTAATCCCAGAAATACCAATGCCCAATGGCTCAAACCAATCTAACCCTAGCAGGTTAACCCGGTCTCCCTCTGCAATCAGGAATGACAGTTTAACACATTTCCCCTTATACTCAACAGTAACAGAGTCCCGTCCGGCCAAGGGAATTCGGTTGCCCTGGAAGTCGGACACTCTGGTTCCCGCAGGCTGGAGCCGCCGCCGGCTTCGGTTCGGGAACAACTGGCGCCAGGACGCGGCAGAAATCACCGTCACGGACGATCCTGAGTCCACCTCCATTGTACAGGGTCGGCCGTCGAGGAGTGGAGTCACGGTGATCTTGCCCTGGCTGCTGGTGCGATTTACGGCCGATGCGCTCGACAAGGTCGCCGTCAACTGGCAGCTTGCTTCCGATGCTGAGGAACGGGTCTTGCCTTGGGTGCTGACTGGAGTGCCCCTCTGCGCTGACCGGTTGTTAGTTGAGGGATCCTTCTTTGCTGATCTGCAGACTCTGGCCAGATGACCACGCCGCCCACACGCTCTGCAGTCGACATCACGAGCCCAACAGGAGTCGCGCTGGTGTTTCCCGCCACAACCGGAGCAAGGCTTGACGTTGGTAGTCTTCGCTGGGGTCCGCTTGCCTCGAACCGCGTTGACGTCATCATCCGCGTCTTCGCCCTCGCTGTCTCGTTGAGCGTGTATACTGGGCTCTGCCACCCGCTGGCGGACCTCCTTCGTGGACTTCTCCGCTGCTTCCGCGGCCACGGCCTCTTCGTAGGCCACTGCCCAGGTCAGGGTGGTGCGGGCGAACAGCCTCTGTTGCAGCCTTTCATCTTTGAGACCGCAGACGAGACGGTCTCTGAGGGCTTCCTCCACGTTGTGGAAATTACATGGTCGTGCGGCTTTGCGAAGGGCCGCCACGAAATCTGCGATGGTCTCGCCTCCGGCCTGGTTCCGCTTGTAAAAAGCGTGCCGGCAGGCGATCTCCGACGGTTGTGGAGAATAGTGAGCCTTAAGCTTCTCAGTGATGTCAGCGTAGGTGACAGTCTTTATATCAGTTGGGGCCACCAACGACCTGGCTATGTCGAAGGTCCCCTTCCCGCAGGAACTCAGGAGGCACGCCCGTTTCTTGGCCTCGTCTGTAATGTCGTGTGTCTCCAGATGGAACTCGAACCTGGATAGGTAGGAGTCCCAGTCTTCTGAGGAGGGTTCGAAGCACTCGAACTTCTGGCTTCCAGCCATCGTGGGAGACTTGGGCACCGGAGCTGGTGGCGCCTCCGCCGGATCGGCTGCTGTGCTCTGCTCGCTTTCTTCCGAGTCCGAAGTGTGGATGTCCGCAGGGCTGCCTACCTGCTCTAACATCCCACCTTCGTCGCCAATTGTTAGATCGCGCTAACAAAGGACTCTTAGAGTGATTCAGCAAGTGATTCAGCTTTATTGGAAGTAACGAGCAAGCACTAACTCAGTAAGAAACCAGAACAGAAAACAGTGGGAGCTTATGCTCCTTTTAAACATAACCGGGCTAATGTAGCCAC